AAACCAGTGAGCTCCAGGGGTCCATCTGTCTCTACTTCCCCAGTGGTGGGATTACAAACTTGTGTCACCATACTCAGCTTTTTACACGGGGTCTGGGGATTGAACTCGGGTCCTCTTGCTTGTGTGGGAAGTACCTTACTGACTGAGCCCTCTCTACCTTTTAGAAGAAATCTATGGCTCACACATAAATGAACTTCTTGAGAGTTCACACGCAGGGGATGCTTACCTTCCAAGAAGATGTGCCCAAAAACGTTGGGAGCACAGGACAAAGGTCCTTGCACTCCCAGATTGCCAGAGAACCCAGAAAGGGAATGGACACAAAACCTGCTTTCTGTTCAGAAAGCTGGGAATTGGAGGTGATTAACAGCCTAGTGATCTATGTTATCTGTTAGGCCAGGTCATATCAAGCTCCCACAATGAGAACTACTGGTGGCGAATAGCCCAAATGATCGCCATGTTATCTGTATGACCTAGACCAGACCAGATACTTCCTTAAGTTTAAGCTAACACAGGTAGCCTATCTCCCAAACCCATCTTCTTGGAAGAAATGACATGTACCCTGAGTCGAGTTTCAATGTAATTACACTTTATTGTACACAGGGGATTATATTACACCAAGAAACTTTTCTCAAATTATACTGTGTTTAAATTTGTTGGGAATAAATCAACTGGCATCAGACTCCTCAAAGTGTGATCCAGGTTGACAAAGTCAATCTGAACTGTTTTCATTCTCACCTATTCATGGTTCACTTCTCTGCCTGTGACCACCTGCAAAGTCCCCACACACACACACACACACAAAAACAAACAAACAAACAAAAACAAGAATTAATCTATACTGTTTCTTGGTTTTAGAAGAAAATTATTTTCCAGTGTGATCTATTTTGAGGCAAATACAGTGATCAGGTTGACTCCACCTAACAACAGTCCTTAGTTGATCCACAGGATTCCAGTGAAGTCTATGGTTTCCACTGAAGAGATGTTAACTATAAGAGGAGTGGGGAGGAAGACAAAAGAGAACACATTTATTTACCCTCTCTCTCAAGGCATGCATGCTAGCTACCGGGTACAGCTCAGCACTGGCTACTGGGCTTGACCTATCTCCTCTCTTACTTCCTGGCCTTGTCTCCAGACATTGGAACTTGTGGACAGCCTTGCTACAAATTCCCAGAAGAAGGACACAGAAGGCTGACCAGATCCAAAAATGGAAGCCAGGTTTAGCTGGGTCATGGGTGTTCCCACAATTGTATCAGATCAAGTAACAATGACGTGAGAGATGCACGAGAATGACTAGCCAAAAAGAAGCCCTAGCCATCGGCCAACAGTTTAATAACTAATAGAGTGTCTGTGTGCTTATTTGGGGCTGAAAGGGCAGCGGGGCCTGGCAGGACAAGAAAACTCCAGCAACAGACTGTCCTTGAGACCAGTCAGTTAAGTGTCCATGTCTGGTTGCTTGAAATGTAGACAGCGCCTCTCTTACCGTTGGTAAAGACCATGTGGGGGCTTTCCTCTTACCTGGAGGGAGAATGGTCTTTTAGAGAGTGCAGAGATCTGATCTTTTGAAGTCCTGCCTTGCTTAATGGTGGGGAGGCTGTATTAGCTGTTTTCCTTGTTGCTGTAATCAAATGTCTGACAAGAAGCAACTTAAGGAAGGGTTTATTTTAGCTCACAGGCATGGTCTTCTGATAAAACATTGTGACTGGGATAACTCATAGAAGACGGTTTATTTTGGCTTAAGATTCCTGAAGGTCAGTGTCCATAATGGCAGGGATACTGTGGCAAGTAAGCCATGGGCATGGCAGCAGGAACAGGAGTCTAAGAGCTCACATCTTAAACCAGGAGCATGACGCAGAGAGAACAAAATGGAAATGGCATGAATCTTTTAACTCTCAAAGTCCACCTCCAGAGACATACTTCCTCCATCAAGGTCACACCTCCTAAACATCCCCAAACAGCACCACCAACTGGGGACCAAATGTTGAAGCAAATACGCTCTTGGGGGACATTTCCATAGGCAGGAGTTGGTGCATCTACAGTCACCTTCCACCTGGACAAAGGACTTGTTTGGCTGCTGCATACCCAAGGTTAATTGACCCAAAAGCTTCTGTGGATTCCCCAGTCTCTATCACCCATCTCACTACAGGATCACGGGGATTAAAGATGCTCATTGCCACACCTGGCTTTGAGTAAGTCCTGGGATGTAAACTCAGGTCTTTACACTTGCACAGAGAACTCTACCCACTGAACTGACTCCCCAGTCCTCATCTTCTCCTCTTTATTCAGGCTGAGATCCTACGGCTTTGAATAAGAATGCCCCCTCTTAGTTTGGGTTAGTACTGCTGTGATGAAACACCATGACCAAAAGGTGAGTTGGGGAGGAAACGGTTTGTTTGGCTTATATTCTCACAGTGTAGTCCATCATTGTAGGAATCCAGAACAGGAACTGAAATGGCAGAAACCTGGGGGCAGGAGCTGATGCAGAGGCCATGGTGGCATGCTGCTTATGTAATGTTTCAGGCATTATGCTGGCCTGCCCGGTCACCTGGCAGAATGCACTCAGGCAGTGCCCCGGTCAGCCCAGGGTTCCATGGCTACTAGACTGCATGCAGGTGCAAAGGACCCCTTTAAAAGAGAGACCGACACCCCCCACACCTACTTATATTCTCTTTCCCTCTCTCTTTCCTGCTGTTCTCCTGGGGGCAACAGGATTTCTTCCAGTCTCCCTCTTCTCTTCTGTCCTCTCTCTCTGTCTCTTTATCTCTTTCCAACCCCCATTTCCCTTTCTAATAAACTTCTCACTTAAGCTCTGTCTGCCTGCCCTGTTTGTCCCCCACCTCAGTCACCCTCACCTGCTGTGGAATCCGCCAAGGCGCCCCTCACTCTTTATCATAACAGCTTACTGACTTGCTCCTTATATAATGCAGAACCACTAGCCCGAGGCATAGCACTACCCACAATAGGCTGGGCCCTCCCCCACCAATCACTAATTAAGAAAATGTCCTACAGCCTTGCCTACAGCCTGATCTTATGGAGGCATTTTCTTAATTGAGCTTCCCTCCTCTCAAATGACTTTAGCTTATGTCAAATTGACATAAAACTGTCAAACACATCCCATATAGGCTCATATATTTGAATGCATAGTCACCAGAGAATGGCACTATTTGAAAGGATTAAAAGGATTAAGAGTATGTCACTGGGGACAGGCTCTCAGGATTCAAAAGCCTATGCCTAACCCAGAGTCTCTCTCTGCCTATGGATCAGGATGTAACTCTCAGCTACTGTTCCAGCACCTGCCTGTATGCTGGCATGCTTCCAACCATGGTAGTAATGGACTAAACCTCTGAAACTGAATCAATCCCCCAATTAAATGGCTTCTTTCATAAGAGTTGCCTTGGTCATGGTGTCTCTTCACAGCAACAAAACAGTGACTAAGACAGACCCCGTCCCATGGAATAGTGACACCCAAATTCAGGATGAGTTTTTATACCACAATTAACCCAACCTAGAAACTCACTCACAGACATGTCTAGAGGTTTGTCTCTTGAGTGATTCTAGATCCTGTACAGCTGTCAATATTAGCCACCACAGACATACACTGGAAAGTATTATGTAATTTTAGAATAATACAAATATCATAGATTTAATCAGACAATAGGAATCCCATAATATAATGAAATTATATTATCCATTATAATCTTATTGGGCCATTGTTGCAAATATAGATGGTCAGAGCATGACCTTACAGCTGCAAAATATGAATTAATTTCTTTCTATGTCATTGCAATAGTATTAAAAATGAAAGAGGCTGGTTGGTAAAGGGCAGAAGTGATGGCTCAGTCAGTAACATTGCCTCCTGCACAAGTATGAAGTCTGAGGACTTGAGTGGATCTCCAGGACCAGGTAAAGCCAGATGTGATGCTGTCATCCACAGCTCCAGCACGGGGGAGCAGAAACAGGTGAATAGTGGAGCTTATTGGAGCCTAGCTGAATCAGTGAGCTCCAGATGAGGAGCCTCCCAAAATAAGAGAGAAAAAGAGAGGGGAGAGAGAGAGAGAGAGAGAGAGAGAGAGAGAGAGAGAGAAGATTTGGGGTATAATTCATGCACAAGGTCCTGGATTCCTCATCACTATATAAAAAGAAAAGGCTGAGGAGGCTGAAGAAATGGCTCCGTGGTTGAGTACTTGCTGCTCTTCTAGAAGACAGGAGTTCCGTTCCTAACATAATCTGTCAGCTCACAATTGCCTCTAACTCCAGCCCAGGGGATCTGATGCCCTCTTTTGGCCTCCACAGGCACTGCACACACATAGACACATAATTAAAAAGAACCATAAAATGTAAAAAGGTGAAGAAACATCGAGGAAAACACTGGATATCAGCCTCTGCCCTCTGCACACAGGTGCATGCATACCCCCTCACACAACCATGTACATATATGAAACACACACATGCACAGAGAGGAAGATGGAGTGCTTGGCTAGTGGGGGCAGGGCTTTGAACTCAATCCCCAATTCCAAATGAAAACAGGGAAGGAGGGAAGGAGATAGTAGGGGGAAAAGCAAAAAAAAAAATAGCATTCCAAAAAGAAGAAAAACAAGAACAGAAGAAGGAAGAGAAGGAAAAAGAAAAAGAGAGAGGCAGATGAAGGAGAAAGAAAGAAAGAAAGAAAGAAAGAAAGAAAGAAAGAAAGAAAGAAAGAAAGAAAGGAAGGAAGGACAAATGTTAGAGAAATCTTCCAAGACAAGGTGCAGTTAGCAACACCCCCTCAGATGAATGACAGCTTTAGCATGATGTTGACTGACTTGTCTGTCGCTTTGTTTAGTTTGAAAGGAAAAAGAAGAAAATCGAGCTGCTCAAGGTATGAATGTTGGTTTATTAAACTACACATTCTGCAAACTTGATTAATAAATACGCTTACCAAAGCATCACTAAAATGTGATAGGCGATCAGGAACTGCATCACCTCATAGATCAATTTACCAAAAAGCCTGCAGGAATGACCATCTTGCATAGATCTCTGATAGCATCCTGTTAATGTGTCCTGGAGCTTAGGCACCGGTGGACAAAGCTAGAAGAAAATGTAAGCTCATTCCGAAGGAACGCTGGGACCCACAGCTGGTGGTGTAGTTCTTTCCTGGGAAGTTTCTGCCCTCTGCTCTACTGTGGTGCCTCTACTGTGAAATCCTCCAACAGAGAAGAAAACCAGTAACCCCCCTCTTTGAAGGCGTCTACCCTGCACTTGCAGCAATCACCTGCCCTGGTCCCTTCAGATTCACCCCAAGAAGTTCTGGAAAACATCAGCTGCCTCCACCCAGCTCTGAAAGCAAGCCAGCCCGCGCTCCCGGATCTGCTTCCGCCCTTTGTTGGTGATGACGGCTCCATTCTGCTTGACAACCACCAGCTTGGGGATGACTGTGATGTCGTACCTCTTCTTCAGTTCACTGAAGACAGAAGAGCAAAGGATTAACACTGCTGCAGGTCTGAAAGGAAGGGGCTGTGTGGGGGTTCTGTGCAAACTCTGCCATTTCATATAGGGACATGGATGCCCTTCAGTTTCAGCATCCACAGGGCATCCAAGAACCACTTTCCTTCAGATATCAAGGGGCAGCCATACTATATAAATCTCAGGTTGAAGATACCATCAGACTCCTGAGGGACTACAAATATGATTATCCAGAACTCAAGTATCCTGTAGTTTCTGCTACTCAAGAGGATTAGGTGGAGGAGATTACTTTAGCCCATGCAATTGAGACCAGCTAGGGCAGCATAGGGAGACTTCAAGACCTCATCTAATAAGGAATTGGAACAAGGCAGGATCAGACAAGAGCTGCCTTGGATCCAGGAGACAGTAGAGACCTGGAAGACCTAGAGATCAGAATCCGAGAGCCCCAAGCCACTGTCTACCCAAGAAATGAAGTCCAGGCTGGTCTACTTTTCTACAGCTCCAAACATGTCAGCTAGCAGAAGAGATTCTCCAATACCCAGCCACATCCTAAGAAAGCAAGTCAGAGGCTGGGCTGGCACGAGGGGACGATGCCTGCCAGGCACCTTGGAATCTGCCCAGCTTATGAGGATAAGCATTGCAAGGAGGTCACTGTAAGTTCTTTAAGGATTCTCTTTAGAGTGGCAACATATAACATGAATGCCTGCAGCTGCTTTGAGGCCTGGTTCTGCCATATATGGTAATACATGCCTGTGATGTCCATGTTCAGAAGTCTGAGGCAGGAGGATGTCTTCCTAGACAGATAAGCTCAGTCACAGAGGATGGGATAAGATGGAACCCTCAGTCTGAGAAAATGCCTACTGGGAGCATTGGCACATACATGCCCCTGTAGTCACTCTCATGCTAAGATGGACCCTCTTCTTAGTCACCAGCACTGGGACACCTGGGCAGAGGAGACAGCTCCAGACAAGCAGCCAGATCTCATTTCAGAGACATACTTGTAATAAAAACAGTGACCTCTCTGGGCTGAACACAGTGTCTGTTGCTGTGTCAAGGGACAAGGCTACACTGAAATGCACCTGCATAATTCTGAGGGCAAGGTAAGGGCTTGGGGTGTTTCCTTCCTGCGGGTCCACCAGCCTCCGGCCATGCCAGGGTAATCTCAGGGAGCCACAAGTGATTTTCTTGATAGTAGAAAGTTTTCTCCTCCTCCTTCCTCAGGTGGCTCTTCAGGAATTGAGGGACAGTAGCAGGTAGTAACGGCCTCTGAGGGAAAGCTACACAAGAGTCTTTTCCCAGTTCACTTCCCAGTCAGGACATCTAAGATCTCGCTGTCCTGCCTTGCACACCCCCCCCTCCGAGCAGAGAGCAACTTCCCCAAACATCTCCTGTATGCTTCATGCGTTCCCCACTTCTCCCTAATGGTGCCCCCTTTCCTTTGGCCCATGACCTGATTCCACAAATCCAAGCTGATCTAGCATTCCCTCAGAACATTCTACTTCCTGGTTTGCATAAAGCAACATCAAGCTTAAAGAAGGACAAGGACAGATAACTAAGTTTGCAAACAGAAAATGCTTCTGGAAATGAAGACCAGGCAAGCCAGGTCAACCTGTGCTCACAAAGGCCCATTTGTCTTCACCTGGAGCACACAGGCTCCAGAGCAGATGTGTGAGGAAGGAAGAAAGAAAGCTACATGGTCCCCAACGTAACACCCTTCTCAAGGGAGTCCGTGTACAAATAGGGCAGTTAATCACCCTGGGTGAGGACATCAGCCAGAGTACAAAGGCAGACCCCAGGAGAACGGACTCCACCTCAGTGGCACGCCTGGAAATTAGGGTATATGGTGATCTGTCACCAGCTGACACTGCAAGGAGCCTGGGATAGCTAATATCGATTGCTAATTTGGCAGCATCTACAATCATCTGCAAGACAAAGTTTTGGACAAGTTTGTGAGGAGATTTCTAGGTTGGGTTAACTGTGGGAGGCACCATTCCATGGGCTGGATGAAAAGGACAAAGTAAGTTTGGCACCAGCATTCCTTTCTCTGTGGCTCCAGATTGCAGACACAGTGACCCACGTCCTCATGCTTCTGCCACAGTTAACAGCCTACTTTCAAACTGTGAACCCAAGTAAACCCTTCCTGCCTCAGGTTTCTTTTATTCCGTGGGGGAGGGGTGTGCCCGTGCACACGGAGGCCAGAGGGATGCAACAAATGTCTTACTCTCTACATCATTCTCTTGAGATAGGTTTTCTCACCGAAATGAAAGCTGGCTGTCTCAGTTAGACTGGCTGGCCAGTGAGCTCCCAGGACCTGGCTGACTCTACCCGTCCATTGCTGGGGTTCCAGGCACATACAGCCATGTCTGGTTTTTGTTTTAATTTAAGTGCTGGGGATTTGAACTAAGGTCTTCATACTTGCACTTTTATTCACTGAGCCACCCCTCCCACCAGCCTCTCTCTCTCTCTCTCTCTCTCTCTCTCTCTCTCTCTCTCTCTGGGGCAGGTTTCAAGACAGGGTTTCTCTGTGGCTTTAGAGGCTGTCCTGGAACTCGCTCTTGTAGACAGAGACCCGCCTGCCTCTGCCTCCAGTGCTGGGATTAAAGGCGTGCGACACCACTGCCCCGCCCACCGGCTTCTCTTAAGTCGCCTTTGTCAAATATTTTGTCACAGCGTTAGAAAAGTAATAAAGACAGAGCCCTTTCACAGACCAGGTCAACCTCATTCTTCATGCATCTCTTTACTCAGCCCTGAAACTACTTTCCCACTATCCTCATGGGCAACCCAGAGCCCTATTCTCTGGTGGTTCCTGAACTCTCCGCCTAATTACCAACCATCACCATCTCAACTGCAAAACAAGTGTGTCCTTTCAAAGCTACGTATAGTTGAGTGCCTGCCATCGAGTCAAATCACATTTCAAAGCACAGCACTTGAAGCCTTGTCAAGTGAGCCCTCCTGCAAAGGTAATCAGCTGTCACTTCGACTTAGTATCAGTGGGATTTTAGCATGAGTGAGGTCAAGCAGCTTCCCCTGGGTTCTCCACCTCCCTGGGAACCACCAAAGAAAATGAGCTTAGGAAAACCAGGGGAGATGGCTCCGTCAGTATAGTGCTTTGCAAGCATGTGGACACAGATTCAGACCTCAAATCCACATAAAAAGTTGATGCACTTGCAATCCCAGAGCTGGAAGGTGAGGGCTGCAGAGACAGGTGGATCCTTAGGGCTCACTGGCCCACTAGCCTAGCCAATTTAGTGATTTCCAGGGCAGTGAGAGACCCTGTCTCAGAAAGCAAGGTTGATGACATGGGAGAAATAACAGCAGAGGTTGTCCTCTGATCTCTACTGGCATGCACCTACAAGTGCACCCCCAAACACACACAGAATAGGGGGGCTTCTAGTTATTAGGAATCTACGTAATATCACAAAGTTGGCTATGCTTCGTTTTTTCAGAAATGATTCACAGGTAGCACCGCAGGAGATACCACCATCACCATGGAGCGCCCAGTACCCGGCCATGCCTTGACCTTTCCCGGGGCTCTTTCCTGGAGCTCTCGAGCCCTGCGTGCTCTAACATCTGTCCATTCCTCGTTCTTCTTAGCATTCATGTTACTGAGACGTAACACATTATAGTTAGGAGACTTCATCGCTGCAGGTAAAAATGGAATTACAAAGACGACCAGCAACTGGTTTCTCCCTCTCTGAGGCCTTCTCCCTTCCCCAGAGTAACCACCCCCCCCCACTTCCGCCAATGCAGCTCTGTGGATACAGATCGGGATCAGCAGCTCCCACTCAGGTCGCTGGGGTCAGCTTCTTGCCCTTCCTCCTGCACACTTATAAAAAGACTAGCTAAGAGATGCCAGCTAGCACCAGGACCAGCCCAGGAGCTCCTGAAACATGCGGATCTCTGAAACCCCAAACACGACTCCTCGGAATTGACCCGCGTTGGTCAGGAAAAAAAGGCAGGGTAGGAAAGTTAAGGACCAGGGTCTGAAAGAGCAGCACTATGCAGGAGAGGAGGTCGGGGTAGCCAGAGGTCTCTCTGGCCCTGTGCCCGCGTCCCCCGGGTTCCCACTCACTGCCTGTAGGGGTCGTGGAAGGGCAGTGCCAGCCAGGCGCCGTGCAGCTCGCGCATGAAGTCGAGCA